CATTTTCCAGGAAACAGATCAATTGGTTCAAGATTTTAGCCTAGACTAAGGAAACCGGGAATTGCCACTAAAAAAATGTTTAAAAAAAAATCAAATCGGCATCATATCTAGGATAAAGGGCGGGGGATTTGAAGAGTTTAGTCCAGTATAGGGTAGCAAAATTCAGCTGAACTAGCTCTGGTGTAGGCTAAGGGTTCCAGGGTCCCAGCGGCACATCCCCACCCAAAAATTCCTAAAGTACTCCCCTCCCCGGGCCTAAGGGTTATATTTATTTTGTTAACTGTGTGTATATGGTTACTCCATTTGTTTCTACTTCATGGTAAGAATAGCATCGCAAGCAAATGCCCATCAACGAACAGCGACCTCCGAAGCTCAAGAAAACTCCAGGAAAATACTGAAGACAAGACAGAAGCCATGCTTGATATCTCAGCGAAACCACAGACTACAGAGAATACTTCACAAACAACCATTTCAACAACTGTTCTATCGTGCAACTGCAGAAAATATTGTCCAGCTGTTAACAGCACCAAACTAGAGGTAAGTTACCGCCGTTTGTTTTCGTATATGGTGATGTGCGAAGTTGTTTATTGAGGAAATGCCATATGAGTAGCAGTTGAGTTATTTCTTAGGTCAAAATGTAAACAAGACAAAAAGAGTAAATAATCTCAACTTAGTCGCGAGTACGTTTCGCCATTTTGAAACGGTAGAGAAATCTTTATCTGAAAAAGTCAGTTCAGGGTTACAAAATTCTAGGCCACGAGTGGTCGTCCTTCTTTCCTCGGAGCCACGCGCGGTGAGAGAAAAAGTAAAATTATGCGAATAAATTATTTTTTCTTTGTTTAACATGGGCTTCCGCCCTTGTTCCTCGCTTGCTTCGCCACTTCCCCCACCCTCCAACGCATGTTCTCGATGTACTGTGTCTCACAAGAAAAATAAGAGACTGCTCGCAGTCTAAAAAAATTATCAAGAATCATGGCTCTTTCATCCTTTACATTTGCTTCACTTTGCTTGTGGTAAAACCTCGTTCTTCCCTTTTTCTATTTAGCGTTTTTTTGTCTGACGTTTTCTCAATTATTCATGAATGATATCAGTCTATTTGAGCCGAAGGATGCGCATGCTTAATTTTTTGTCTAATGTTAATTTGATTACCGTCTTTTAAAGCTTGTGTGGTTTGAAAACAACCCCATCTTCTGTAAGAAAAGCTGGACAACTTGAAATCGAGAAGAGACCTTATTTGTAGCGTTCTGCTCCTTCGATTGCTGTCGGAAGTGCAACTTGCAGTACTATAACTGTGTGTTAAACCCAGCTAATAATCAAGCTCACTAGCCAGGCTTATGGTTGTGCGTCAAAATACTTGACCGAAAGTTCCATGAACATAACGATAGAGGGACTGGTGACATCAAGAATCTGAGGACAAAAATTTCAAATTAATGACTAAAATGCCGCGGTATGGTGAATGAAGAGAAGATCACCTGGAAAACGGTCGCGCAAAGAAACTGTATTTCTAAGAATAAAGAAAATGCCAAACAGCTCGTCAGTGTTTTTCTAAAGGTACTGTTGTACCTCTATTAAGCCCCCCACCTCCACCACCCGTAAGGGAAATTTTTTTCGAGAGTATTACCCAGATACTATAGCGAGAATGTTTTGTCAGGAATTTTAGGAGTTACCCTAACAAAAAGTTTGACAACCTGCTATAGAAAATAGCATGATTGATTAAAGCATTTGTTGGCGTTGCTAACAGGAACTTAAGGCTATGTTTACAAAGTAGCGGATAGATTTGACGCCGGCACAAAAAATCGTACTACTAGTTCAAACATAAAAACGGTGATTTCGGCGCGATTTATGTAACGGAGCGATACTGCGTTGCGCCAATGTTGAAGATTGGGAGTCCTCGAATAGGTGTTTATAAATCGATGAAGCGGCCGATTTAGCTCTAGCCTGTTCCAGGCGTTTAAAATTTGGAATGCGGCACAAAGTCAGAGCAGCTGGGAAAAAAAAAATAAGGAGGGAGAGGTGGAGAGAGAGGAACCTTCCTTTGCTCGGCTCAACCCACGCTGTTTTTCTTTTCACATTTTTGTGCTGTCCACAGAAACTGAACGCCTGGAACAGGCTTACACGGCTCAGTTGACCTGGGTAATGACTATTTAACGAATAGATTCCATGTTGCAGTGCGCTGAGCGCCTGTTCAGTAATTCCAGATGACTTCAAAATGTGGCAAAAACAAAAATGCGGCACTGAGCTGCACTGAGCGGCATGCGAGTGTGTCACTGATGTTTTAACCAAATTTTGACGTCTTCTATGATATTAGTGAACAGACCCAGGGTTACATGGAATCTATATAGTTTACATAATGAGCAGAGAAGAAGCAACGACATACTTGCCTCTGTACCGCTTTACTGTTCGAGGATTTGTCCTAGATTTTCAAGTCGTTCAAGAACTTGTCTCGGTTTATTGTTTTTTTTTTCTTATCTATAAACAGCTCCTGGTAAGCCACTTTTAAAAGGCTTTCACTTGCTTCAAACGAACTGCAAACAATTTCAAAATCGCGTCCGTGTTGAACAAAAATAGAAAAGCAAGTCTCCACTTCATCCATCATGGGTCTGTACTCTAATATATCATCACCACATTGTAAAAATGCGTGATCAATACATGGATATTGTGATCGGTTAGATGGGTACATGTAACTTGCGAACCAGCACCCAGGTATGAGATCTTGCGCAGGAGAATATTGTGGTCCACGCCAGCAAAAACGTTTAAAAGATAAAATAGTATAAAGATAGAAATCTATTTAGCGTCCATGGCCAGTCCATGTCCATCCTTGTCATCCGTTGCAAAAAAGACAACAGGAGACAGTTTAAAAGGCCAAATATGAAGTTTTTAACAACAAATCTCGGGACCATTATATTTGGAATTCAAATTATGCGCACTAAAATTGAAAGGGTTTTGTTTTTTAAATTGATAGCCCTGACGAGACCTTTTAAGACAGTTTTGTTTAAAATAATACAAATTGTTTGACTGCCGTTGTGATCATGAGTCGAACGTTAAACGAGCTTATCAAAGAGGATTGATCATATATAATCAAAAACAAGCTTGCTTGTAGCATTTACGTTTTTTAATGATAACAAAGAAGAAGGAGAAGAAAAGAAAACACTTAGACACTTTCTCATAAGTAAGTAAACTTTATTAAACTCGGCCTTGAATATACTAAGGCCGATCTGTCGAGACCTTTGACTGATTATTTAATTAAAACTATTTTTTTTTTTTTAAACTTGCGTTTAATTTTTAACTGCACGTCTAAATAAAGAATGTCAATGTATATATCAATGTCTTAAACACGGCAGACATGCACCCGGACTGACTTTCACTACAACAGGGGCACCCAACGACAATTTTCGGAAAATATCTGTTCGGAAGACGATTTGAGATCTAAAATTTTCGGAGCATTTTTTTCCAAAATTTCTTGCTTGTCTGCCTCTCCTAGGATTTTCGAACATCTAAAAAATGGTATAATTGCCCATTTTTAACGGATTTTTACCCTAAAAAGGTCACCTCCAATTTTCGGGAGCCTTTTTTCTGGCTGAAATTTTCGAATAGGTAAGTTTTGATCCCTATAATTTCGAATCACTAGCCTCTCAGCTAGGAAATCCGAACAGATGAAAAATTTTTAGGGGATAAAAATTTGCCTATATCTACCGTTTTAATACTAAAATACGTTTAACAATGCTATGTTTAAGTGGTTTTGAACTATATTCTCGTTGGGTGCCCCTGCTACAATCTTCTATGAATGCTAAAGTGAAAAGAATAAAACCAGATTTTGCATTTGACGGGAGCGTTTTTAAGTTGTAATGCAAAAAGATTTTCATGGGGATTTGCGAGTCGGGGGTGTGTTCGAGCAACTCGCTCGCTTAGTTATAGCCATGAGATACCAGGAGTCTGATTTACATTGGTCTTCACTAACAATCTTAATCTTAATCTTCTTACTCCTCTTCTTTACTCAATCCTTACTCGGCGGAGAGTAAGTAGTTCAAGTGTAGTAGCGGTTTTTATAGTCAAAGCTGGACATGTTTGGGTAACTGACCGTAGGAATAAAAACAAGGTAAACTCGCGGCCGTGTAGGTAATGTTTTGGTATTACTGAACATACGTGGCTGCGATTTACAAGAAGCTACAAACCGATGAATAATTAAAACGCTTTTTAACAAACCCAAACAGGAACTTCAAAGAGACTAATGAATGAACCAAGGTCAGCTCTGACATGAAAAACACGATTACGTATATGAAAAACTAACATCCGACCATGGCAAGAGAACAATATTCCTAATTAAAATGGCATTAAGTAAATCCGCGAGCTAAGCAAACTTTCAAGTAGAAGTCTGAAAATCACAAAATAAAAAAAAGGAAAATGCCTATGCGCACCAAATCCAAATTAACCTTGACTCACCTAGTAATAGAAAAACGAAACTTAGAAGAAATACAAATCTTAAAAGTAACTATTAAAATACTTCACAGCAGTTGTAAAAGTTTTATTAAATTGATCTAAGCTGACGTGAGTTCTTTTGTTATAACAGTGCAGGTTCACGTTATCATTGGGGTTCATAAATGCGTTAATTTCAGTCGAAATTCGCTGTTTCCAGACAGCTGGCTCGGGCTGGGAAAAAATGTGCCTTAGTTTATTAAAATCTAAAAATGGTTAAACAATTAAACTTATAATGAAATTAAAGCTTAATTACTCCAGTAAAATAGTAATTTACGCAAATCACAAAAATCATTATCAGTTTCACTTTCCTCGACTAAAAATAAAATAACGTAAAAAACTTAAAAAGGTAAACAAGAACTATATTCCTGTCTCGTGTTTAACAAAGATCAAGAAAAGAAAGAAAGAAAGATTTTCTACGTTGTCGAGAAATATACATTGGGAAGTACATTTTTTGGAAGGTAGTAAGTATGTTAATATAGCTGCATGTTTTTTGGCCGTAAATAATGAAATGGTTCTTTTTATATTTATTGAGTAGGGTCAAGATAAAATACCTCCACCTCATCAGGTGAGAAGGACAAAGTCCCGGCCAGGATTGTATCCGGGTCCTGCACTGCAGCAGGAGCATGGTAGTATGAGTCAAGGCCTGCGTATGAGTCGCTGTTACTGTTGGCATTATTAACAATGATGATGTCAACACCAAACACTGGACCATACGCTGATCCCCTGTAAATTGCCTCGTATGGCCTCCTCACCTCACTCACAAAGGGATCCAGTTCTTCTTTATTGCTAATTGAAAAAATAAACGCCTTGCGAGTGAAGCTCAAGCCACCACTGGACTCTAACAAACCAACAAAACGTAAGTATTAACTTTTGAGTAAACACTGAGGTGTAGTTACTCTGTAGTGTATTTTCCTTAGTTTGAATTTTATTTATTTATTTATTTTTATTCTTGACTTTAAATGAATTATCATAAACTAAAACAAAACAAATTTAATAAGAACCATGAGTGAAATGGAATCACACATTTTTTCCAACTTTCCTTTTTTTTCTTATTTTCCTCCCTTTGTTTATTGTATTGCTATTCCTTACAGTTAGTTATGAAAATGGACATAGTCTTTAAAGACAGAGATACAGAGATGATGTATGATATACGCCAATGATAATGCATTTCTTATTTGCATTGACATGTGATGACTAACCTTTCAGACCTTTTCCTTAGGGATAAGGGAACCAGTAAGGGATAATTGAGAAAATAATTTTGGGGATAATTGAATTGTTTTAGGGAGTAATGAAAGTTCATCATGGTTCTACATTAATTATGATCTACAGTTATTTTTCTCCCCTTTACTTTTATTGGTTATAGGATCGCAAGCTGGATAATAAGGTGGGAATATCTTTGCCGCCAAGAAAACCCATTTTACTGTATTCGCAAAACCCACGAGACAACGGCTGCATGGTTATTGTGTTTTTGTTAGCACTTGAGAAGAGTCTTTGTGAAATCGCCGCTTGTTTACACGCGTAAAAAGTCGCCTCTGGAAACGGATTAATCGAGCCTTTGCAATGCCATAACAATCACAATGACTATTGCATCTTTTCAGCTACAGTTATACCTTCTTTAATTCTAACATGAAAGTAACTACAAAAATTTGTGGCAAACATTTTTTTTTTCTTTCCCACAAAAAGTGCGCGGAAAGGGGCAAGTTTTTCCCCCAGCACCTCCCCCTGCGTGTTTCCTGACTTTTAGTAGTAACGTTCTTACAACGTTTAGGGATAAGGGATATCTCCTCTTAGATTTACAAGGATAAGGGATAAGAACCCCCTCCCCCTACCCCCCCCCCCCCCCCCCAACAGGGCCTCATTGAACCGATTCCGGGATCATAACAAGTTTGATACCTGTTTTGTGCAGAAATGATTATAGCTGTAGTAGGCCTATTAAACTAGATTCAATTTACTAAACTTCAACTTGATTGCTTGGAGGGCTGTGAGAGGGGAGGAGTGGGGTACTCCCATACTTTGGCTAGATAGGTATGTGACGCACGAAAAAGTATGGTATTTGAGGGTCTTATTCTTCCATACTGAATCAATTTTTCCCTTGTTAGTGTTGTGTTCCCGCCGTTATCAATTGGTTAACATTCAAGAGTCTACAGGTATAAATGCCCAGCTACACGAGAAAAAAAAACGGTCTGTTAGCTGAACTTTACCTTAGAGTATCATGAAAGCGACTTAATGAAGACTTTTTCGGCGTTTCTTTACTCACGGTCTTTTCTTGGCGTGCATGACTGACAATTAATTTACGAAAAGGCCTTCTGATCACGCAGGGTATGTGTTGCCTTTAAATTCTTAGTTTGTGTGTTTTTTCCTTGAATTGGGTCTCATTTTGTAGGGGTGCGCCTCTGAAGAGCGCGTCCCCGTAAGAACCGACCAGTGATTTCGGATCAAAAAATCAGTTTTCTTTATATTCTGGGATATTAAATTCTTTACATAATTAGCTACAAAAATGCATTTTGTTTGACCGAAAATGCGAAATATAATTTTTTACGAATTTTTGAATTTTCGGCCGGTTAGCACCGACGCAATAGAGCCTTTGAAACTACAAAAATCGCCTACATTGCCGGCGCTACAGAAAGCAAACAACTCGTTGAAGAATCCCGAATTTCTTTTTAAAACATGTATACGGATACACCACTCCAGATGTCCTAGCCATATCACAGTTCCGAATTATTTATTCATTTTAACTGTATGAATCTTTCTCCTGGCACGTGTCATCAGCCTTCCATCAAAACAAGAAAATAGCTCAACTTTGAGGGGAGTTTAAAAAAGTGTGGCACCCGTCTGAACGTTGCTATCTGTATTAATACAAACTAGAAATGATAGTAAAACGTAAAAAGGAATAAAATTTTAGTTTTTTTTCTTACGTTTTCGAATATGACCGCCGTTTGAATTTCCAGAAATTTTGAAGACCTTATAATTAACGAACACTTGCCTTGTGCTTTGCTCGTGAAAGTCAACTTCACTTGATGGCTTGATGGATCTTACCTTAGGTCTTTTTCATTTTAAGGTTATTTCTTAATCGTCTGAAACTATATTGGCCATTGATTCCGTTTGTTGCAATTTTATCTGGTTTGTAAACCGTTTTGCAAAATGGTCGTAACTGCGAGCGTGACTGGTTTCTGACACCCGACCTCGAGGTCTTTGCTAAAAATAATATTTCTTTCGGATCGACTCCTCAAGATATGGCAGTAAAATTTCTTGGGCAAATAAAACTAATTTCTTTGCAAATGTGACGCGATAAGACGCTAAGAAAGCAATTTAGCCCAGTCATCTATTTGAAATACGTATGCGTAGTTGTATGAGTGACTTTGTATTTCATGCCCAGTCCTCGTGGACTGGACACGAAGCAGACAAGAGGGTCTCAATGGGGTGGTGGCTTTTACGGCTTTCGGCTAAAATTTTGAATCTTTTACGGCTATCGGTTAATTTTTTTCAGTTACGGTTAACGAAAACGTTAAAAATTAATTTCTTTTGTTTCAAAGAGTTAAATATTAATAAACTTCTATTTTTGTATCTTTAAAGCAAAATAGAGATCTTAGGACCCTCTCGGGGTGAGTTTACAGAAAATGTAAAGGTTTTCTTTCCCCAGGGACAAAGCAAACTGTCCTTAATAACGAGCTGTTGTTGCTGTTGTTCTTTTAACCATAGCGAAGGAGTGTACAGACCGACTTTCTGCTGTGGCCTTGGGAAAATCTACTCGTAGAGATTTTCGACGTTAGACATATTCAGTATGTACGTTGCAGAAAGAAAGAAAAGATATAACGAACCACTTAAAATACGAACTGATATTCGTCAGGGCGGGTCTGTTCGTATGTGTGAGACATAATTGATCATTATTTGGGCTGCAACTGGCTCGAAACTGTCGCCCTTTAAGGACGTGTCAACATCTTTTTTTTTTGGGAGCAAGGAAAAGCTAAAAAATGGTCATGTAACATCACTCAATTTTTGGAAACACAAGTCCCACTCGGTCCGGTAGGCTTTCTACTGCGCTACTTTGCGTTTTCACTTGCTTTTGAGGAGAAAGGACTGGTACAGTTGGTTATTGCGCGGCCTTCTATGGGAGAAGTCTAAAGGTCGATCCCCAAATGTGACCTCCAATCCCTTTTTCGACTTCTCTCCTTTCCGTGTAGCTTTAAGTAGCTGTAAATACCCATAACAAGGAGCATTAATGGGGGTTTAGAAGGGTGGGTGTAGGGCTCAGGTTTGCTACGAGGATAGTCATGTCTCTTTCGAGGTACGGACTTAGACTGCAAAACAGTCCGTATTTTTGCGTATTCAAGTACGCGCGAGCAGTCAAACAAAAGGTCTGGAATGAGGCTGAAAACAGAGAGCGAGACTGGGGAGAGACGCTAAAAATACGGTTTTTTTTCTCTCGCCTCACACGCCCATAGGGCGTGTGAGGCTCGCGCGCTTCGCGCGCATAAGACTCTTACGCCACGCTTTACCGATTTCTTTACTGATTTTGAGGAAAAAACCGACTGTTTTGCAGTCTAGTACGGACTAAGCTTTTTACCTTTCCGTTGAAAAAAAAAACTACTCATCAAGTCATGGTAAATGTAATAGTATTCTTAATGCTGATCAGGAGCCCATAACCTGTGCCGACTGAGTTGTCTAAGAAACTGTACATCCAATTTTACATAAAGAGAAGGTCGAGAGAATAACTCTTGAACGTTTTCCTTAAACCTTTAAAAGGAATTGTTCCATTACGTGTTTGATTTTTCCGGTTATATTATTAGCCTGTGTAGTACTGGTCTGGCGCGCAGTACAAGCTTATAAGGCGGGCGAGGGTTGTGAAACCACGAGGAGATTGGGGCGGGAGCAATGCTCGTTCGTACGAGCTTCGCGCGACAAGACCGCCATTCTACGCAGGCCAGTTTATTTTGTAAAGTAGTTCTGGATTTTTGCTTTATGTAAAATGTGCACGGAAGGTTTTTACAAACTATTTATTTTTTCTGCATCCAGATTTCTAGTATTCTTGAAAGTCAATTTAATATTAATAGACATTTCGCTTTTAGTAGAGAAGATGAACGTGACTCTGGAAACAACGCGGAAATTTGACAATTTTACTTGATAAAATCAACTTTTATTCTAAAAGTATTTTTCGAGACCTCGAATCTTACTAGGGAATAAGACTGTTTTGAGTTTATTTTGCCATCTGTCAATCAACCCGTCATAATCAGTGCAAGTCGCGATTGTGTTGGTCCGAAAAAGTACTTCTATGCTATGAGTCGATATGAGTCGAAAGTCAAGCTCATCATTGTCGTGAATTACCTCTAACAAATGGCGGAAAAAATTTGAATGTCACGAAACAACCGTGTTACGCTCGCGACCAGCAACGAGTGCCATTACTTTTATCACAAACAGGACAAAAAATTCCCTTGGAGGACAAATGATAAGAAAACAATATTTTAGTAAAAGCGATTGCTTAATGCACAATAGTATCCCGGCTCTACAAACCAAGAAGGACATTACAAACAGCGAAGTTAAAAGAGGAGAATAACAAGGCAAGTGTTCGTTGATTTTCTTGTCTTCGAAATTTCTGGAAATTCAAACGGTGCTCATATTCGAAAACTTGAAAAGCACAAAAATTTTATTCCTTTTTACGTTTTACTATCATTTCTAGTTTGTATTAATACATAGCAACGTTCAGACAGGTGCCACACTTTTTTAAACTGCCCTCAAAGTTGCGCTATTTTTGTGTTTTGATGGCAGGCTGATAACACGTGCAAGGAAAAAGATTCTTGCCGTTAAAATGAATAAATAATTCGGAACTGTGATATGGCTAGGACATCTAGAGTGGTGTATCTGTATATTAAAAAGAAAATCGGGCTTCTTGAACGAGTTGTTTGTTTTCTGTAGCGCCGGCAATGTGGGCAAGTTTTGCAGTTTCAAAGGCCATGGCGCGGTGCCAGCCGGCCGAAAATTCAAAAATTTGTAAAAAATTATATTTCGCATTTCCGGTCAAACAAAATGCATTTTTGTAACTAACTAGGTAAAGACTTTAATATCCTAGAATACAAGGAAAATTAATTTTTTGATCCGAAATCACTGGTCGGTTTTTACGGAGACACGCCGTTAAATAAGGTATCAGTTTTCGTTTCTCTCATCCTCAAATAGGGTCAGTACTTCAGGCCCTCGGAGACAAACATCTATCCGAAATTTATGGGAGTACCCCACCCGGAACTTCACACACACTGACTTGATCGAAAAAACTAAAAGTGTAAACAACAAAAGCAAAATATGTAACTAGACACAATAACCAATGGAGATGGATTCCTCGAAGTCATAAATTTTAGCTGCAGAAATAAATAAATGAAATGAAAACAAAATAATAAAGAATTTCTTTTCATCCCGTAATAATCCAATGTAAACAAGAGCACATGATGTCGACGTGTTTGACTTGATCGTTTCACCAAGGTACAAGAATTGACATACCTACGACACTCGTCACAATAGCTGGGACAGTAGTGGTATTTTCTACCCCCTTAATGTTGGATTTTGCGAGTTGGAATGACAGGAGCAAAAAAAAAACAACAACACTGGGAGGGAAGGAGCACATTTTTTTTGTCAGGAAATGGGTACAGCACGGGGTGTCCCAACGTAATGTGACAAGGATTGTAGGTAAACATTAGGTATAACGGCGGATCTCGTGCTCGCGAAACACAAGCAGCCGGGCACTATGGATAATAAAATTTGGTTATCTATGCATTCAAGAAATTTAATTGTGACACAATCTTCCGTCCTTACGTCCGCCCTTTCATATTAGCGCATGTATGTCACACTCACTTATTATAAGCGTTAATCTAAGGTATATTCGATTTGTGATTAACTTGATATGAGACATCCACTTGTCAAAATAGGGTATCCGCTAACAACTGTCCGTATCGAAGCCTCAGGTTTACAGCTTTCTTCAAAGGCATTACTGAAAAGATCAAATGAGAGCTTCGTTTTTGGCCCTCGCTAAATCTACATGTTACCTTGGTAAGTGCCACTGAGGAAATAAGAATTGGACTTAAATGAAAGAATTAATAACCCTGTAATCAGACATGGCCTACTGATGGTGAAGAACGCCGCGGGTAAAGACGACGTATTTAATATACTCCATTCGACGGGTATCCCGTCAGGTAATTATAAAGGATTTTACCGCAAAAATTGCTGTGAGTTATTATAATACGGTAGTTTTCACTTTTTTTGGCGGGTATAGTCTGGTCGGGTACAGTGGAAACCAAAATGTGACACCCACAGGCATTTATGTCTGATTTTGGCAACATAGGTATTTTTACTAGCTTGAGTACGCTGATTTTGAAAATCATTGTTGCCAAACTCAGTTCTTGTGCTAAGGTGGAGTTTGGGGATTTTCACTATGACGTCATTGTCCAAATGAGGGGTATTCTCTCCTTTAACAATTCCAAATTTAAAAGAGACATAAATTCTTTTAAACCGTTATTAGTGTTTTAAAAATTATATTCTAAGAATTTCTGACTGTTTTTACGCTGCTTATATTAACATACAGCCATCACGTGACACTTGACCACGCCCTCTTATAGAAAAATCACCTTATCACTTGTATATTTATCACATTGGTAGTCTTTACACTAGAGCCTAAATAAGCTAAGAAATATTTCAAGTGCAGCAAATTTTAATTACTTCAAGTAAAATAAAGCTTCACACACAACCGATTCTTTTTTACTTCAGGTTAACTTAAAGCTATTTTTCCACGCAACATAATTACGATTGATTGACGTGTTTCGCCTTTCTCAAACCTCAAGGGTGCTTACCATTTGACAGAAACTTTCGGAAATTCCGGATGGATGGTAAATGGTAAGGTCACTTTTCGGAAATTACGACCAAAAATTGAGGAGTACGTTTTGAGGTAGTCCGTTCATTCCAGTTGGTACAAACCAAACGGAATGTTGCTTACCAACTACCAATTTCTCGGTTCCAGACGCATTCGCCCCCTTTTTGGATTCAAACCGTAACGGATGTGGCAACTCTACGGTAAACTGGTAAATCGCTTACCATTATGCTTTCGACACCCCAGCCAGATTTTTCTGTCAAATGGTAAGCACCCGAAGAAACTGCAAGTAAGTCGGTTTTAAGGATGCTTTTCAAGTCGCTTGAAACTTTCTTGAAGCGTTTCAACTTTTCAACTTTAATGAGATGCAAAGTAAAGTTACTTGAGATTTTACTTAGGCCTTCACACACGAATTTTTGGTTAAGTAAAACTTAGCAGCTCTTAAGTCTTACTTAACAGCCTAGTGTAAAGACAGCCATTATTTTTTTGTAATGTACTTAGGAATACATATACAACTTTTTGTTTTTCTTGTGCAATGTTGAATCCTAGTAATTTCACAATTCACTTTGGGCCTCAAGCTTGCTAAATGCTTTGTTTTATTTGGGCCTCTTTGTCAACCAGGTACCGGTGTTGCGTGGAAAGTGTCCTTTCCACCTAGCAACGAATGGTTGATGTTAATGTTATTAGTAGTGAACTGCATCAGGAAGTTGTCCGGGCTTAGAACAAGTTAGGAAAACGGTGCCGCTTATCTCTTTCAAGAACAGACTGTATCTTGCGCTAGTGAGGGGTCCAACTTGAGGATTTGGCTGTTGTAGCTGTATATGGCCCTCCTTGTGCAGTAGATCTACTAACAGCGTTGAGTAACTAGGAGCGTACATCATAACTTGTATGATGTAATCCCCCGTATCAGTGCTTAAGAATTCGAACAAGTCTCCAACTTTAATTTTCTCATGATGCTTTCCTGTTGATAGATGACTGCGGTATGTTTGTATTGGTTTTTTGGGCTAGCTTATTATATCCCGGCCGTACGTCAGATAGCTGGAATATTTGGTTACGCACTGCAGTATAGTGGCCGAGCTCAAAGCAGATAAAATCATAACGATAACTGCCTGTTGAGATTCCTCTTTGTTTTTGCCAGTCTGGTACTAAGCGCTCAGACACTTTTTGTACCTTCCCGGCCCTTTTGCAGCAATGAGATCGCTGACCTTAGCTAGGCGGAATTTTATTGCATTATCCAGATTAGCCTGAATTTCAGACGATTACTTCGAGTCCTTTTTTACTCTTTTAGCAACGTCTGAATCGACCGGCCGCTAATGTAATCCCGTCCAGTGTGACGTCACTACCCGAAAACCGGGTAGTGTTTGATTGGTTGATTCTTGTCCAAACATTCGCAGAATTATGTATAGTTATGAGAAATTTTAGCGGGATTGCCGGGTCGGATGCCTGGCATGTTTGCGTGGAGTTAAAAAAATTCGAAAGTGAAAATTTCTGGGATTTAAGTCTTGCAATTTCCACCGTCAAGTGTAATGATTCTGTTTAACTTTTTTTTCTTGCTTTTTTTCCTTCTTCGTTAAGCACCAAATAGCTTCTTTTTTTTAAAGCAAATCGTTGTGTTTTTGAAGTGTTCCGTGTGTGTATTTTAATGAGCTTGTTTTATCTGCGTGATTGCGATCGAGTTTGAGTATTGAATTAAACGTACAACAGACTTCGTTCAGAGTACTGCATGCAGTTGACAGTTTAAACGATAAATATGAATTACATTCAAAAAGAGTAAAGCACTTCTGTATCATGTAGACATTTCCAACGATATTTCTTTGTTTGCCGGTGTCACTGGACGGTATTAGCGGCCAGTCGGTTCTGACCCTACTGAGGAAGTAAAAACAACTCGAAGTAATCGTCTGAAATTCAGTTCATATCCAGATAAGATGATTCAATTGCAATGATTTGAGCAGCTCTCGGTGTTTTCGGATTTTTGGCAAAGTACAGAAAGACTCCATTGTACAGGTGCGACACTTCTCCTACTACTTCGTGCTACTTGCCCTTTTAATGAAGTGGAGGCCGCCTCGTTGTCAAAAGAAATACTTTTCTTCTGCGTTAGGGGGGTATTATTAGGGACCTTAAGACCCTAGGACGGCGACGGCAGGTAAAACGTCGCTGAAAAAAGTGAATTCGCGTTCTTTCAATCTTCATCGAGATTACTCCAAGTCACTCACTTTGTCAAATGTAGGCGAACCCTCCTAAAGTTGAATTCCTAAGAACCATATCCAAGTTCAGAAAGAGAGAGGAAAGTTCGACGTCGATTGTGTACTTCCTCTGTACATCGTGAAATTAAACATTTTCACGTCGTAGTCGTGCAGTGACGGCAAAGAAATGTACAAAAAAGCGCGATTCACGTGCAGAATTGTAGTTTTGCTAATTAAACCTATTGCTTTTGTGGCGTTCCCGTTGCCGTCGCCGTCGTCGGATCGTAAGTTGCCTATTTAACATATAGCTTTTCCTTCAGAAGCTCAATTTTCACATTGTGTATGAAGTCACGATAACAAATTTCTGTGCCATTGTGAGACGAAGTGAGTCATGAGTGGTTAGGCTTTCCACAAGCTGCTCGAGATTTTTCAAAAAGTTTCCCGTATTTCTCAAAGAAGTTGCTCAAAAAACAAACAAAAGTTCCTCAAAAGTTGCTCGAAAAAAAAAAAAAAATTTTTTTTGGTCTGATGCTAAAATATGCAACTTCTACAACAAAAGTAAGATTTCTAAGCATTTTGTGCAATTTTAATTATCTCAGTAAAATTATTACGATAAATATCACATCTTTTGCGGCGTAACCAGTTGCTCGAAGTACGAGAAGTTGCCAAAAAGTTGCCGAGCAACTTGTGGAAAGCCCTAGGAGTGGTTACATCTCTTACTCTTTCTCTTTTTATTGTCTCTTTATTTTGTTCATCACAAGCACTTTTCCGTGCCTTTGCGCTTCTAGCAGCTTTGCACATCGCTCGTCGGTCCTTGTGGAAAGCCCCTCCGCAGCTCCTTTTCTTTTTAGATGTCTCCATGCACCTACATTTTATTAAGCAGTCCGGCTATCTTAAACTATTTGAACTTACTTGAGTTTCAAAGTTGCCTTGGTCTGGTAACGTATTTAGTGAGAGGAAAAGTGCCAAGAGCACGTGCAATCAAAGAATGGCTTATTTCAATATACTTTTTAATTATCTCAGTAAAATTATTGCGATAAATATCACATCTTTAGCCATAATTGTGTAAATTTTAAATCAAAGGGTGTGGTCAATTGTCATGTGACGCCTCGAAATTCGAAACAGCGTTTCATAAATTCCCTAAATGGTCTTTAAAATTAAAACCATTTCTGGATCTATTTAATTTTATAATTATGGAAGGAAAGAAATCTTCTTATTTGGACAGTGACGTCATAATGAAATGCCCCAAAACTCCACCTTAACACGAGCTTGAGATTGGCAACAACAGTAATTTTCGAAATCAGCGTACTCGAGTTAGTAAGAATAGCTATGTTGTCAAAAATTAGAGGAAAATGCCCGTGGGGGTCACAGTTTGGTGTCCTGTATAGAAAACTTAGGTAACCTTTGAGTCAATACTATGGTCCATGTATTTTCTCGCCAGGAACCGGGAGGATAGATATTCAACATATCCGCAATTTTACAGAATCGTTAATACGTAACAACCAGCCTCCCTAGTTCTTACGGCAGTAAAAATAGTTAAGAAGACTGGTCTGGCTCAACTTTACGTTTTATTGCTATTTGCTTTTAAACTGAGCAAGCAATTTTCTTACCCCAAGGAATGTCCGTGTAACCTCCAAAAACGTATTTACCCTTTTTTATTATGGTAACTGTATCTCTTTTTCCATCGCAGCGTCTGTGAAACTGTCGGACATTCCAGCCGTGCAATGTAGCCCGCCAACACAGTAGCCAGCGAGAATAGTACCCAATTGCAGGCTGCAGAAATTTTCCCAGATGGTACAAATAAGAAGAATTTGTTTTCAATGTATTTGAGTCCAATCTGAAGGCTGAAAATAAGAGTAGAGTAACGTAAAGACCTTAACGATTGCAAAAAGAAGTGGTTTCTTGTGTTTTACATGTTCTATCGCTTCTGTAGCTGCCTAGTGTCTTTAAAGATGGTACAAGAAGGACTAACTAAAAACCGTTATCGGTCTCAACATCAGCTTCTTCCCCGTTGATCCAGAGACGCAAAGGTTCATTGGGGCGGTAGGGGGACATGGGCTGCTTTTTTACTTACACAATTCTTAAAGACATATGATGTTGGTGTTGAGCCACCGAAATGAGACCAGCATTAAAAGCTACTGAAATAATATTCATGTAAGAACAAAATCAAAAGTACAAACAGCCATGGTCCAAAATGCCAGGCAGTTTAATTTTAAAAGCTGCAACGTTAATTTGCGCTCTTAAAATCGATGGAAAACGACGCTTTTCAATTTGGAATGCAACAATGGTGCGCAACAAGTTAAGCGAAAATGTTGCCCGTATTACTTGACCTTAAAGATCATGTCGAAACTTCATGTTCTTATAAAACTGAAACCTAAGGGATTTGCATAAACCTTTCTCGTTTGATTTTTTTTTCGTTAAAATAGCTATCAACGAAAAAGGGAAAATATCCGCGATACCAATGATGACGATAATGACAATGATTTCACCATTTGATAGACCCCGATCACACAGCGGCCTTTTTTATCAGAGGAATCTACAATCTCAATGTACAGAAGATATTTACCTGTGCAATTAAAGCCGTTCCAGAAATATCCTGGCTCTCTGCAGATACATAAGAAGGATCCTTTGGTGTTATGGCATATGAAGCTTCCGTTACAGTTGTGTTTTCCTGTTGCACACTCGTTTACGTCTGCAAAACAGGAGGCGCGACTTTTGGATGCCATTCAGTTTTCTCTAATCAATCCGATGATTACGGACGAAATTGATTCCAATCTGAGTCCTATTTCTAGTCCTATTACCACTACTAAATGCTGTTCTAATTATGATTATAACAGTGTAATGGGACAGTGCCCGGGGGCAGTGTCCGTCATATGTACCTAAGTAATGGTACAATAATCACGCCATGACGCGTGAGCTCTTCGATGTTGTTGTTGGACTCCAGCTATGTGGTCTCCTGACTCTACTCAGTCCTATTTCCCTTATTAAACTATATAAGTATTATAATTATCATTCAAATTATTATCATTATTATTTCTTGCTTTGCGCACTGGCTGATCTCATACCTTTGTACTTACTAAGGGAGCGAGTCATAACCCATGAAAAAAGGACCCTTAGATTTCGACTCCTTACTCTAGACCTCTAATACTTTTCTTAAAATCCTTTCCCTTCCTAGTGGCGTAATTTTTGGGGGGTAATGAAATACTAATTGTTATGTCCAACTTTCCAGCCAATTCTCCAAGTTCTTCGACACACTTGCGAATGATCCCACAACAATCTTTATCTCCTGCACAGTTCTCGAGTTCCACATCCTTGGAATTTTTTGTTTATAGCTCCTGATATTTTTTAACCTTTTCAACAATTCTCTTATCCCCTGCTACAGCAATATCGACAATGGCGCACTTTCTCTCCTGTTTGTTTACAACCACATGATCATGTCTATTGTAGCATTGATGACATGATCACATTGGATGTTCATTATCCCACGGTAGTTTAACTTCATCGTTTTTGCTCACACTGTCAGGCATGTGTTCGTACCACTTGTCCTTCTTTTCCAGATGATATTTCTCACATAACTTCCAACGAACTACTTTTGCAATATTTTCATGTCTCTGTTTATATTCCCTTTGGGCTAACTTTTTGCCCTTACAGAGAATATGGTTTACATTCTCCCTTCTCGCCTTATTACCCACATAAGGGGGATTCGCGCGGTATTGTCAACGTAGTATCAGTTACATGGTTGCAGGTGGTCCTGTGAGCCTGTTTCTGGCCTGCACAAATAAGTTCTTCTGTTTGGATCTTCGAGTCTGCTTTTCGTAACCAGCTCCAAGTTTTCTTACATGTGTTGTTCCGAGTATTCCTCATAAAATTGACCATGCAGCTTTCTTTCTTTCCAAGTGTCGATTTTCAGCTCATTGTTCCAAGATGTCTTCAATCAACTTAACTGACAGTTTCCTCACTTTCAATATACCTTACCCCTTACCCCTTGCAGTAAAACATCCCAAGAATTCCTCACACACCACCACCCCAAACTGTTTTACTCACCTCTCACACACCCTTCACAGCTTATTGGTTCCCGACCTTGATCCTCCCTTGATACATACGACCTCTTTTTGAATGGAAAGCACAATTCATTGTCGATCAACACCTTTCTTGTCATTGAATCCAATGTTTTCAGTTCTTCCTTTGCCCATCTTAGCTGCTCCATACCTGATCAGCACTGACACTGCGCAGGTGTTTAAAAATCGCTATAACCTTATTCTTACATCTGCCTCAGTAGCCCCCAAGTATTTAAATCCTTTTCACTTATTTCTGTCATTATGCCGTCGATTTTTACGGGTCTTCACCGAAGGTATGCCACTTGCCTTGCCATTTAATGTTGACATTCTTTCAAGAAATGGGCGCATTTCAGAAGTCTGTCACCTTCCTGATGATATCACCATCAAAGCGTTAAATGGGTCACTTACTACTTATAAGTTATTTGACGTGACCTATGGCAATGGCAATCATTTTAAATCCGGAATGTGCCTGCCTTCACCCCGGGTACCACAGGCCGGGTGATACGAGTATGATGGCCTGTGGGAACATCATCAAAGAGGATCAGGACTTCGGTACTGTGGAATCGCAAAAAAGCCCGCTACTCCCTTTAGCTATTTCCTGTCGTATGCCCTTTATTAATAATTATTTGCGTCAGTAGCTGTCAAAAATTAAAACAGGTGAGTGGAGCGTATATCGACATAATATAAAGTGGCTATAGTACTAGTGATTAGGTTCTTCGAAAAATGGTATAAAAAGGCAATGGCAATATTTAGCACAAAAAAAAGAACACTCAAAACATATGGAAAAAAATTGTTTGCAAGAAAATGACGATAGAAAATAAATGTTTGCGGAGACATATGTTAAAAAAATTTTGCAGAAGATAATTTTTCATCTCCCCCCCTCCAGAAAAATAATGGTCCGTCCCTATGTTGCACGCTTGGACCGACGCGGAGCAGTGGGGGGAGGAATAGGTGGTTTGGTGACTCCACTGACTCTAATCTTTCAGGTGGGCGTGTACTGCTTCCGGGCTATTAGATGTGCGCCCGACAGGCAGCACACGCACTTGTTCCTGACCAATGGCGACGCCTAACTAGCCGCGGTATTTCGCGTTCGAAACCGACGCATTGTGAGTGTCGTCGGGGATTGAAGATTGATGCCCGATGGTAACAAAACAGGTCTGAATAACACTACAAGCGGGGTTTTCGCTGCAAATCTTTGTGGAAGGAAATGTCTACGAGAAGAAAATAATTGGCATTTTGCTGCCTTTTCCTTATGAAATATTCGAGGTGACACCTCTTCTAGCCGGTTTGCAACACAAACAACCTTTCCATCCCAGTGGTTTTACTCAGGAATCACCCGCGAGACTCCAACACACGTAGACGAAAAAACTCGAACATTGCCACCTTAAACCGGGAACCCACGATCACAAAAAACTCATCAAATACGGTGTTAGTCTACTCTTGGCCAACCCCATTTCGCTTGCACCAATGACGAAGTGAAATGTGTGATTTCGTATGTAAATATTGCTTTATTCACTGAGACTTGGCTAAGAGACTCTATCACCGAAAACCACCTCCGCATCTCAGGGTACCATGTCACTGCAAGGAACCGTACTACAGGCCCTCAAGGTGGAGTCGGCTTGTATATTACAAAAAACCCCAAGTTCAAGTCCCTGGAATATTTACAGGATCCTGATTTTGAAACAATGTGGACGTGGCTTCAGCCGACCATATTACCGGGTTGAATCACTTGTCGGATTGCTGGCACTGTCAACGACATGGCTATGCTTAAAACATCTAGCGACAACTTCAACATCAATTGGAGGTCAATTTCCGGGCCGCGGCATTCTCCTCTGTGGCGACTTTAAAGGGTTTTAATATCAGACGCCTTAGATCTCATTTCATTTAACTAAACTTATCGACAAGCCGACTAGTGGTGACCGGACCTTAGACCTGGTGTTAACAAACTTGCCTTAGTTTTACGATAAAAATTCTGTACAAATCTTACCACCGTTTGGTTTGTCAGATCATAACGTTGTCATCTTAAATCCTAAAACGAGAGCTACCCGCGAGGGGCCGAATAGGAAACAAATCTTGAGACGTGATACTCGCGTATGGCCGTTATCGACTGGTCGCTTATGGATCTAGCCAATGATTGTGAGTAAAAGCTGCAGCTACCCACAGACTTCATCTTAACCGGTCTTGATTCCATCATACCTATTAAGCAGTCTAGAGTCCATGTCAATGACCCCCCCCCCCCCCATGGGTGTCACCTGCATTCAAACGTCTCATAAATCTTCGCCAACAAGACAATTAGTACGGGGACAATCAGTTTTTCCGACACTACCGTAATGTGGTGAATTGCAAGCGTAAAGTTCTCCGTAGCAACTACTACGCTTCAAAATCGAACCACCTAAAGCAGATGGCTGGCATTGCCCTCGCTCCTGGCTCAGACTCGTTGTTTGCCAACTTACAGATCGAGGGTTCCACTATTCTGTCTGAGCACTGAGAGATTTCCAACCAAATCAACTCTGCATTCCTACAACGGAGTCCTTCCAAAGGCTTGAATCCCTTCCTTCACACAATGAGGATTTGTCACCGCTAACCCTTTCGGAACCCGCCGTTTTTCCGCTTTAAAAAGGCTTAATCCTAAGAAGGCGGCTGGACCCAATGGTTTACCCAACTGGTTGTTGAAGGAGTATGCAGATATGCTTGCCTGCCCAGTTACAGCTGTGCTAAACAGCAGTTTCGCGGAGTAGAGACGTGGAAACCTGGAGGATGGCCAATTTGGTGCCTGTCCCCAAGCTAAAACCTGTTACCGACATCAACAAACATCTTCGTCCGATCTTCCTAACCCCTGTAATATGTTACATTATAATTCATTCAAAATATTTCCCCGATTCTGCTTGGCTAAAAGCACATGCATAATTCACCATAACCAGTTACTGACGACCTTATTTGGAAGAATTTTGTGTTTAACGAAGAAATGACTTCAAAAATGCAACGTTTTTGCAGGTTAATGCACCGTTAACCGAGAAGACCTGGGGACGAGACTGAGTTGTTTTGGTTAGGGAAACAAAAATGGCGGACATTTCACTGGTTTCAAGAGTAAGAACTAGGCGAAATGATGGCTAAAAACATGGCAAAAACAGCAAGAAGACAACTCGAGGGGCGACATCTGCTATTTGGAGAATATTTGCGGAGCTGAACAACCCTAAACGTGCACTATCGAAGATGAACTTAACATCGATGGATCGATGGAGGTAAGCATGTTTTAGCTATCTTTTTAAACTAGGAATTATTTTGAATGAATAATAAAACAATTATTGAATTCGGCTTTCGTATCATATGAAGAATTATGGACATCTCGGAAGGTGTTATAACACCCTCTGAGATCTCCATAATTCTTCATAAGATACTCATCCTCATTCACTAATTGTTAAATTATCGTCGCTCTCCATGTCGGCCTTGCGGTTCTAGAGGTGATTGATACAAATCAGTATGGTTGCATCCAGCGTCCTCTACCCTACACGCCCTTACGTCTATGCTACCTACCTGGTTATAAGCCACTTACAGGCCCTGGGCTGCTGTTCGATTGTAGGAAGGCCTTCGATCTAAGCGACCACACCCTGCTTGTGCGCAAAGGTTTCGGCCTACCTATTCCTCGCGCTGTTGCCTTCTGGGTGGCCGACTTCTTAACGCATAGACAACAACGCGTTAAGTTGTCTGGAGACTGTTTTTCTGAGTGGGGCCCTGTTCCCGATAGTGTGCCTCAAGGAACCAAACTAGGCCTATCGCTATTCCTCAGGGTTCCCAGAGTAGACATATGGAAGTACGTTGATGGTACTATTATACCATTTTTCGAAGAACCTAATCAATAGTGCTATAGCCAATTTATATTTTGTCGATATACGCTCCACTCGCCTGTTTTAATTTTTGGCAGCTACTGACGCAAATAATTAAAGAGCATATGATAGGAAATAGCCAAAGGGAGTAGGGGGCGTTTTTGCGATTCCACAGTACCGAAGTCCTGATCCTCTTTGATGATGTTCCCACAGGCCATCATACTCGTATCACCCGGCCTGTGGTACCCGGGGTAAAGGCAGGCACATTGCTGATTTAAAATGATTGCCATTACCATAGGTCACGCCAAATAACTTATAAGTAGTAAGTGAGCCATTTAAAGCTTTGATGGTGATATCATCAGGAAGGTGACAGACTTCTGAAATGCGCCCATTTCTTGAAAGAATGTCAACATTATTAAAAAATGGCAAGGCAAGGGGCATTCCTTCAATGAAAACCCATAAAAATTCTGACCTTAAGCTGTCACGTATTAGACTGATGGTGTAAGGCATTATTCGTTATGTAGCATTATTTTGTTGTTCATGTAATTCATTGACTTCTGAAATATGTGAGTAGTAATGATAAATATAGCAAAGTTTGAAGAATATTATTTGTTTAATGCCTTGTATATGAAGTTGTGCAGTAGGACAAAATGTTGACAAGTAACGTTGAGATTTAATTGCCACAATAATTCCCATTTTTTTCAAGAAAGAATCGGTTATTTTCAGATTTGTTATACAGAGTGACCATGCCATTTTAAAGTACCCAGATCGTGTTTATTTTCTCTGCAAACATTTTTTTCTTACACTTTCACGTTAGCAAACAGTTTATTTTCACTTTTCAGACCCCTTTTGTTCAATATTTCTCATCCACCCACCCCCGCCTCCAGAAAAATAATGGTCCGTCCCTTAACCACCGCAGAGACTGGTTGAAGAAATGGATTAAAACCATCAAGTTTAATTCACTTTAACGACATTGAACAATTATATTATTGCTTCTAATAATTTTGTTTCTTTTCTTGAGCTTTTGACGACATAGAGGGTTTCAACGGTTGTCGTGTATACAATTTTTCTATTAGGTACAAAATTTCTGCGAGGAGGTGTTATAGCTAGTGTATTATTACATTTAGTTTTTGTTATCGGGTCAGTATTTCATACTAAACCCGCAGTATGTATGCGGTTACTTCAAAACCAATGTGCTTCTTAATTAATAGTTCTGGATTTTATCTGCCATTTTGTGTGTGGTTGTCCTATTTCTAGCAGTTTGTTCGAGAACATATCAATAAAGATTTATCGGTTTTTGTCTCTCTGTCTGAAAGGAAGGGCCAAAATGAAAAACCACCGGGCTGTTTTTTTTTCTTTTCTTTTTTGCGTTCGCTACAAGTTCACTTTGAAAAAGCGTGCCAACAAACCCTCTTAACGTGTACTAACCAGCCTTTTATACTTTTTACAGTAATTCGAAAAGTAAACAGTACTTTTAGGCCCAATTTTGTCCAGACCAAACTCCGTAATTATTAGGAGTTTCAAGAAACGGCCCTTTGAGGAAAAGAATCAACTTGTTAATTGACAAAGGAAAGTAGGGTTTGAGGGTATAACTCTTTTCGATTGGCGGATAATGGTAGAATTTGTTGAAGAGGATTTAAATACTTGGGGGCTACTGAGGCAGATGTAATAAACGAAAAGGAAAAGAAAAGACAGTTTGCAAGAGGGTAAAATAAAGGCTGAAACTAATATTAAAATCAACATTGAAGGTGTTGACAATGAATGGTGCTTTCTATTCAAATGTTGATAGGTTGTATGTATCAAGGGAGGATGGAGGTCGGGGACTAATAAGCTGTGAGAAGTGTGTTAGAGGTAAGGAAAACAGTTTGGAGTGATATGTGAGGAATTCTTTGGACGTTTTACTGCAAGGGGTAATAGCTACTGGTAAAATTAAAAGCGAGGAAACTGTCAGTAAGAATGAATTCAGGACATCTTGGAACAATGAGCTGAAACTCGACAGTTGGAAGGGAAAAAGGCTGCATGATCAATTTTTAAGAGAAATACCCGGAACAACACATGTAAGAGAAACTTGGAGCAGGTTAAGAAAAGCAGACTGGAAGATCAAAACAGAAGGACTTATTTGTGCAGGCCAGGAACAGGCTCTCAGGACCAACCATGTAACTGATACCATATTGACAAGACCGCGCGAATCCCCCTTATGTAGGTAATGTGGCGAGAAAGGCGAGGTTGTAAAGCATATTGCCTGTGAGTGTAACTGAAAAGTTAGCCCAAAGGGAATACAAACAGAGACATGACAGTATTGCAAAAGTAGTTCGTTGGAAGTTATGTGAGAAATAACATGAGCAATAGAAGGAAAAGTGGTACGAACACGTGGCTGACAGCGTGAGTAAAAACGATGAAGTTCAACTACTGTGGGATAATGAACATCCAATGTGGTCATGTCATCAATGCTACAATAGACATGATCATGTGGTTGTAAACAAACAGGTGATAAAGATTGTTGTAGGATCATTCGCAAGTGTGACGAAGAACTTGGAGAAGTGGCTGGAAAGTTGGACATAAGAACTAGTATTTTATTGCCCCCCAAAAAACTACGCCACTAGGAACGGAAAGGATTTTAAGAAAAGTATTAGAGGTCTAGAGTAAGGAGTCGAAATCTAAGGGTCCTTTTTTCATGTGTTATGACTCGCTCCATTAGCAAGTACAAAGGCTGGGATGAGATCAGCCAGTGCACAAAACAAGAAATAATAATGATAACAATGATAATAATAATAATAATAATGATAATGATAGTAATAATAATAATAAGTATAATAATAATAATAATTTGAATGATAATTATAATACCTATATAGTTTATAAGGGAAATAGGACTGAGTGGAGTCAGGAGACCACAAAGCTGGAGTCCAACAACAACATCGAAGAGCTCGCGCGGCATGGCGTGATTCAGTGGCGCTCATTTTCACCTTGCATTTGGTGGCCGCTAGCATTTCTTATTTTCTCATCGCCGCTACAAAATTTTCATGTTGTTCTTCCAACGAAATAAATGTCTCTTTTGTCTCTCCTTCTCCCTCCACCTTCCCCCCCCCCCTCCCCCTCTCTTTCTCTCTCTCTCTCAGTTTTTCTTTTTGTTAGTTCAATAACCACACAGCAGTTCAATAAGTACACAACAGATCAATAACCACACCAGTAGTTCAATGACCACACATTAGTTCATTGAGCGTAAACTACATGTAGCTGCGGGAAAAATAGCCACAAATACGTTAGTTATTTTTAATAAGAATGTATAGCATTAAGTAAGTGGTAAATACTCATTTAGCTATGGTACGAGAACTAAATAGATAAATAGCTATGTTACACTGTTATTAAGTTCTAGTGAGCTCACTAATAGAGACAGGAACATAGACTGATGTTAATATAAAAATTTTTAGTGCTCAGAAGGTCTGTCATTCTCATCAGGGGTACAGTGAACAGACCTGGAAAGAGAGTCAGTGCCGAAAAGGGAAAACACCGACTCGGTCCGGAGAAAACTTCAACTAGAAACCCGACAAAGCGCGCGTTCATAAAGCAGAAAAAAATAAACAGTTAACGGTGGATGAAACCTTGTTTTTTTACTCTCTTTCCGCACGTTTCAAACCGTGGTACCACAGCTGGCCCAATAATAACAGTGTAACGTAGCTATTTATCTATTTAGTTCTCGTACCATAGCTAAATGAGTATTTACCACTTACTTAATGCTATACATTCTAATTAAAAATAACTAACGTATTTGTGGCTATTTTTTTCGCAGCTACATGTAGTTTACGCTCAATGAACTAATATAATGTGTGGTCATTGAACTACTGGTGTGGTTATTGATCTGTTGTGTACTTATTGAACTGCTGTGTGGTTATTGAACCAACAAAAACAAAAACTGAACGTCACAGTTGTGTTCTCCTGTTATACACTCGTTTACGTCTGCAAATCAGGTGTAGGACTGAATCATCAAAACTGATTTACTTAACCTTTTATTTTCTAGGATTGGGTACCGTCAGAAGAGAGAGCTTCCTGGCTTTACTAAGAAGCAAAAAGATTATTGCTATATATTGAGCCGGTTAAAAATGAAGAAATAACATCACATGTATAGATAGAGAATTACAAAAACGTAAGGAAGCAAGATACTGGAGAATGCAGAAGGACTTCCGAGCTTAAGCAAAACTACCAACAGGGTATGGTCGGAAGAGAGAGAGAGAGCCGGGGGGGAGAGGTGGAGGGAGAAGGAGAGACAAAAGAGACATTTATTTCGTTGGAAGAACAACATGAAAATTTTGTAGCGGCGGTGAGAAAATACGAAATGCTAGCGGCCACCAAATGCAAGGTGAAAATGAGCGCCAGTAAAAAAAAAAAGTGAACAAGGACGACACGTACGACACTTCTTCCATAAAACGTGAAACCAGTTGTAACCAGGAAGTTTCTGAAAGTGTCACGTTGTAGTCGTGCAAAACAACGGCAAAGAAATGTACAAAAAAGGTGTGCTGCACGTGCAAAGTTGCTTTTTGCTAATTAGACCTATTGTAACAATTGTTTTTCACCGTTCTTGTCTCCTTCGCCGCTTAGCATTAATTACACTTTTTTTTTTATTTTGTTTGAGCAAACTATTATCGAGAGATTCGCTTTTTGCCCTGGCTAAATCTATATATCCTGCGAACAGGTTTACTTGTTAAGGTGGGGTTGTTTTGGCGGTGGAGCCACCAGCGCTAGCTGGCGGCAAAAAGAATGGGACGGAGAAAAGCGAGCCTGCAGACGGGCTATTTATTTTTTTAATTTCGCCCCCTTAAGAGGTGTAAAGATACTATCCAATAGGAACAAAGCAAAATGTCGACGTTGTACGAGGAAATTTTTACGGAAGATAGCAAAATATAGTCATGGAAAAAAGGGAAAAAAGCCGTGTTAAAAAAACCGCGAATCGAGCTAATGATTGTTGCCGAATATACACATATTTTGCAACGTTTAATCGCCTTATTCGTCAATTCCCGCTGACGGCACCGCCGCCTTAACATATAACCCCAAACTCGCATAAGTGAGCCTGTTCGCATGCCAACGATAAACAAGCGGCCTATCACATGCTATCATGTTGGAACCGATTTTAAAGAACCCCTAAAGATGTAACATGCATTCACCATAATGGAACTCGAAAAAAATTGTTGAATAGAAATGCTTTCCCATCAGGTTATTCAGTGATATCAGCTGAGGGTTTTCGCTTCCTTATTTTACCTGTGCAGTTAACGCCGTTTCCGTTATATCCTGGTTTGCATGTACAAATGTAAGAGCCTTTAGTGTTGTTACAGAAAGCATTGGAGTCGCAGTGATGCTTTCCTGTCTCACACTCGTTTATGTCTGCAAAATAGTAAATAGAATGCATTGAATTATTTAGAAGAATATAATTTTTACTGAATGATCCCTTCAATCGTCTGTTGAAATCTTTCGTGGAAAATCATTTTAATGATTACTGTTTTATTTGATTGGGTGCCACAATAAGGGAAGTGGCTAGGCCAGACGTCAAACTACTTCATGAGAAAACTAATGGTTTGTTCGTTATGTCCTTCCCTACCGACCCACAAAGGGAAATGTGTTTTCTCTGTATACTGCCTTTATTAATTCACGGATGAACGAAAATGTCCATACGTAGTCTGAAATGTCATTCGTCTCCATCCCCTTTAAGGCGCGGGGGAGAGAGACGCGTCCCTTACGGATTAGGGGGTGGGGACCTGTGACATTTCAGACTATTCCATACTCCTCTCTCCTCTGCAGAGGCTCCTGCTGGGTATCCGTTTAAAAATAGCAATAATTGAAAAAATAAGAAGCGCGCGGGTGCCCAGCGTGCTCTCGCACAACACAAGGAGGCCTCTGTGGAGGAGAGAGTCCATAATCAGTTTTTCTGGCAATGCAGGCTTTTTAGGCGCATACAAAACATTTTGGGGTCGTCTCATTTTCACTCTCTCTTTATTTATTTTCAGACTTTAAACCCATCAGGCCCAAACAACAGTGGTGTTTTGTATAGTTTCACCCTTATTAGGTGCGTCTCAGTTGATTGCACTTGTTTTGGCCACTTTCTCTAGGCCCTGTTGGGCTAAATTTCGACACTGAAGCGAAAGGGCCTTGAAACAGCGACATAGGGCAGCAGAAATGGCGACAAACAACGCAAAGGTGGGTTGAAACTGCTACAGTGACAGAGAAAAGCGCAAATACAATTGTGCCAAGTTTGCGCATTGCCACTTTGTTTCTTTCACGACTAACTATTAAACAATTTACACTTCTATTTAGAATCTGTTTCCTCAGACGATTGACCAATTTTTCGCCGGAAAAGCCTTAAGCAAAATAATTGTCTAATTTTCATGCATGCAAATTTTGTCTTTAAAAACGGCCGTCATGTTGGGTTAATCCAGGTGTTAGGTATTGTTTACGTTAATTTGAGCGTCACATAAAATTTTGCCAGATCTAATGTCGACCTTTTCCACATTCGAGGCTAACGGTAAACGCCAAAGTCTCATACGTTACACACTTTTCTTATATTAGACGGGATGTAAATTAATTCCTAAGGATTATATCAACTGCATCGCCAGAGGTAACCTGCCAGCAGATTATAACTCTTTCCTTGCTTGTAAAAAAAATTGCCACGTATATGTTGTAGTTAATTTTTTATCCCAGGTAATTTTTGTTTCTCTTTTGTTTTTGGGTATGCTAATGTATGCTAATGAAGTTGAAACAAAAGAAAAATAAAAATTACCTGAGACAAAAAATTAACTACAACATATACGTGGCAATTTTTTTTACAAGCAAGGAAAGAGTTATAATCTGCTGGCTACATCATATACTTAAGTACAGAACGTTAAGTCGTGTGCTTCGTTTTCAGGCGGGTTACGTCTTTCACTCTTCTCCTATATAGTCTATCGTACTTAAGGAACAAAAACAATTTAGACCTACCCTTTTCGCATTTTTCTCCTCTCCATTGCGGATTGCATGAACAAGCAAACGTATCTTTCCCTTCGTCGAACAAACAAGAACCTCCGTTAAGGCATCCAGCCATTAGGCAGCCCTGAGGAAAATGTTCATATGTTACTTCGGTGAGCTAAAATGATATATATCGTTTTCCATCGACTTCCTACAGCTTGCAGAGACTGATCCCTGAACATAAATTGCCGGCTCTGCGTTCCTCTTCTTTTAACATTTATAGTTGTTTGCATTCTGTACTTCTCTTAACTTTATTTTCAAAACATGTAAGCCTCTTGTTAGGGAAGAAAACATCGCCTTCGATAATAATGTGGCGGAACTGAAAAATTTGGGAAAGGAAAACATGCTCGCTCCCATACGAAACATATGACTGAAATGCGAGTGCTAGCTAGTGCTCTTTTACAACAACTCAACTTCACTGTTTTACCAAATTTCTATTTTTTTTACGTAGTTTCGCTTGAACAGTTGTTGCCTTAGCCTGGGTGCACGAGTCTATTCTTCTTGCACGCGGAAATGAGGCTCGTCTGCACACGCACGCCCTTGTTGTCTAAGCAATGAAAATTCAGAACTTTTCTTACCTTAAGAAACATTGAAAACGTTGTGCCTGGATTATCAGTGAGCTTGGTGTCATCATCAGTTGTAGAGAACTCATGCTTGTTCAGTTCACAGTTACCCGAGGACTCTTTGAAGTTAGAAGAGGTACACCAAGAATGCCTTAAACATGCTTGGCTGCATGACATTTCATCCGTAGAATCGATTTTCTTGACAACATAGCCATGTAAACGCTTGTTCTCTTGAGTTTTGATGTAGGCAGATCTAGAGTCTTCTTCGGCTGCTAAAACTGCGCCAACAATGAAGCAGAAAATGAGTGAGGAAATCATGTTACTTATCTCTACAATATTACAGCGCTGTTTTCGTGAACAGGGTGTGTCTGTGTAAAGGAAGTTCTCCGGTAAAATTTGTAGGGTTCATAAATATATACATAATTTTGTATATAGCAAGTTAATTAATACTTTGAGCTCGATTGACGCGTGTCCTTTCAGTGATTGACTTGTCCTGCCAATGTAGAGGATAGGACAAAATTAATAAGCTCGTTGCCGTTTTAGCGAACAATGCTGAAAACGCCTAGGCCGGTTGAGGACATCGGAATTCACAAAAATAATGTGTCTCCTGTTGAATGGTGAATATAAATACTTTGCTGTTGAAAAGAAGTGCTGTAACAGCTTTACTCTACCGCAACACTGCGACGTTTAACAGAGCATTCTGACAAAAGGCTTTCATAATTGTCGTATATCAAGAAGTTAATATCTAAAAATTGAGAAATGTTAATTACACAACGGTTCTTGCAAACACGCATTTTAAATTAAGTTACCAGCCAGCGTAGTAGTAGCATAGCAAGGAGGATGCTGCTATGTAAATTTAAGTTTGCTTAATGTTTAAACCTCATTTACAATACAGTTAAAATTTAATGATTTAATTAATGGATAGTTCAAAATTCTAAAATATGTTTCGATTGATAAGTTGCTGTGGTCAACTGTGAACATCGGTATATAATTTTATCTTTAACAGCGAGAATAAAGATAAACTGTTTAATAACTTTCAGTCCAAAAAAATGTAGTTCTGAACATCAATTAACAAGTGGCACCTGAACATCCCACAAATGAAACAAACTGGTAGTCTTATGGCGTTATTGTGACAGCAATTAGCGCAAGGAGGAGAAACAGAGATGTTTTAAAATTCATCATAGTTTTAATTTAGCAGTCAGTTCGCCTTTACTGCAAATACTGCTGGATCGTTTATGGTCAACTTAATTTCATGTATGATTATCCTGCGAATACAGCCGTCTCTGGCGAGGTGCGAAGATACAAGGCTCTACAAAAATTAGTACATTTTCAAAAAATTACGAATAGGGAGTTTCAAAGACGATAAATAAAAAAGGAAGGGCAATGGATAAAAACAACTACAACAACAATGAAACAGTTTTTAAAATTGACATGGACATCTTATAGTGTTATTTATTTTATAAAGGAGGACAGAAAACGCAATTGCTTGAAATGTCAATTTTGCCTGTTTTTCGTATCAGTTAACGTAAAACAAGTCAGGCGCACGCACATTCTATCAATGGATTGATTCCATCCAAATTGAATCGTTTTCGATATCGAATCCATTTCTGTATTCCCGCAGGTGTAACGAGCAGTGAATTTACACACCACGTAGTTAGGAAAATTCTGGTGGCTCAAGATAGAAATTTTGTCCACAAAAGTCAAAAGATTTTTTAATCTGACCAACTAAAGAAGATGTATTTACTGAGCGATAGCGAGGTCAATACATCAAGGCCTCGGGGTTAGAAATAAAAAATTCACACCGTATTAACACATGCAGAATTGCAACTTTAAATGTGATACCAGTAGTAACTAGCATATAATTTTATTCACATGTACTTTTCTTTTGTTAACGAATATGAGGCCGCTTAGACTGGTTGTAACGCCTCAGTTAAGAAAAACAAGTGACTGGTCATTCTTTGTTAGTTTAAAAAATATCTTATTAAGAAAAACAAGATTTTGCCTCCAATTCGACAGCTGATTTATATATGTTGAAGTTCAATTTTATCCTTGGTTCAAATTTTCTTTTCTTTTGTTTCAAACTCATTATCATGTTATTATCATACATTACCATACCCAAAAACAAAACAAAAGAAAATTTGAACCAAGGATAAAATTGAACCACAACATATACTTCCAAAACGTGCCTGCATGATGTTATTCGGGACCTATTAAAAATCGTTTTATTTTTCGGAAAAGAACCCGCTCAAGTTTTCCATCATACGTAAGTTGACTGTGCGCTCGTTTTTTGTCATCGAATGGACCTCTTTCCTTTTCTTAAATTTGACTATCTGAAAACACTTTTTAGAAACTGACGATGCGTGGGTGTCCTATGTTTAAGTGAGCGGAATAATCGCTCTAGCTGGAGAAAAGTTACTTGAAAAAACCTCTTGGAAAAGTTATAACAAATGAACCAAATAATCCGAAGAAGTCCTTTCACTTTTATTTTTGATTAAACTTGTTTACTATTTTTCGTAATGAATTATTCTTCGCTCATGTTATTTTTAATACCAGATTCAATAAAAAATAAGAAGGCAAATAATTTTGTTTGTTATTGATCTCAGCACAAGCGTTCATTTTTATTTCATCCATCGAGTGGCTTTGCTGATTTTAAGGGAAAGGCAGAAGGAAAAACTGTATGCACATATGCAGAAGCATAGTGTTTATGTTTATAAAATATGGGCACTGTGTCGCTTTTACTCCTTTCGACTTCTTTCTCCCTAAACAAGAGACAAAGAGACATCAATCTTACTCTCTGTGCTTCATGCGAACACCAACGAATTTTATTTTGGTTAGTTTGAAATGTATTAACTGGAATTAACTAGAGCAATATATCATTTTTTTTTTTTATCTCATTCAATTTTTAATGTTTGTTGAATTTTGTTGCCTATTCGGGTAAATTTGGGAAAGAAGTAATACTGAGAGGCGAGCTTTGGACATTTTTAGCCCTTGCCCTGAGTACACGTTTCGCCAAGATATTATTAAAAACTCATTAATCGAATGTTACCAATAGCTATTACCCAAGGAGATCGTGATAACCGTTTTCTGTTTGTGAGAAAATTACCAACAGCGAGTATAATGCTATGTAAACTCACGCAGCAAACGAGTATTAAACTGACAGTCAATAGAACTCAGTTCAATTAAACATTTTGGCAAAACTACAGACAGCTGAAAAGAAGGGAGCTCTTATTTCATAAGATATAGCTTATTAGAAACCGGGTTACACGCTATTATAGTAAAAGACAGATATTAACTTTTGCTATAAAGAAAAATTATGTACGAAATAATAGATCAGATATATTTAGAGGTTTCTCTTTTCTTCTGTAACTTAATTTGTTCTATCTGTCAGATATTTTGCTATCGATCGATCAGATCCTCAAAAACACCGTTTCCTACTAGTTTAAAAAGCTTACGAAAAGTCAGACAATTCATTCAAACAAAAACAAACAAAAAACATCGTATGAACTAATTGAGTGGAAGATACAGATGGCCCGTCGATTCAGGACATTTCATGTTCCCCCTCTCCCCACCCCCACCCCCACCCTCACGTAGACCTTTTGTTAAGATTTCCGAAGAGTACTAAATGTTTCTTTGAAGTTAGTTTAAGGTTCTGGGCACTAAGCACTTCAGCTATTACCCAAGATCATGGTAACCATTTTCTGTTTCTCAAGGGGTTTAAGGCCTGGGTCAAAGATGTATCCTGAGCAAATGAATAATTGGCAATATCCCTCGCTAGGAGACCTAGAACAAAATGAACTTTTCCCCAAAGGTAAATCTTAAGGTTTTCTTGTGCCTTAACGTTTAATTATGGTCACGTGGCATGTCACGTGACCAAAAATTGAAAATGAAGGAAATTGGCGGGTTGGTGGCGAATTTACCTTGTTTCGATAAACAAATTGGTATCGCTGAAAGAAGATAAGCTTACCTAACTTTCTACGTTTGGAATGAACGTACGCAAAGTTTAAAATTAAAGTTTTAAATAATTCAAGATTAAATTTGGGCCGGATTGAAAATGATGTTTTCCCTCCTAATTTTTTTTGAAGTGCAATGGACGGTCATTCCAAATGTGAAGTGTTAGAAATATTTAACCAAAATTAGAAAAATGTTTTTTCCACATTTCTTTTCGTAAAGCGGTCACCAATTGGTCAATAATTTACGATTTTTAGCAAAATGGTCACGTGACATATCACGTGACTTATTAACACAATGTTTATACTTTAAAATGTTAAGGACGATGAGTTCTTTATGTGTGCCAAATTTAAATTAACTGCCATCATCTATGCCAAAGTTATCGCAAATAATTCATTTTCCGCAAGTACACGCCTTAGTCCCAGGCCTTAAACTACTTGAGTTGTAAGAATATTTGACAAATTAATCAGCTGCGAGTGCATTTGTATCTAAAATCACCCAGCAATGATTATTGAACAGAACGGCAATACAGAGGATAAGCCTTTGTGTCATGTTGCCATGGTAGCAAAATTTCTGGATCTCAACACAACTGTGTTCCCGCAAATATGGCAGGAAAAAACGAAAAAAACTGACATGTGTGACTTTCCTCTGCATGATTGCACTGCCACACAGGAATCGAACAAAACGGTGACAAAACAGGACACAGGAACAACACAGCAACAAAAAAATGATCAGACAAGCCGTTCAGGGGCACATGGACACGCGTGAAAAACGCAGTGCGCATGCGTGCCTTCCATGCTTCCGGCGCGAATTTGCCAGTCGAAATTATACGCGATACCAAAACAAACTAGATTCCGGCCGCGAAATTCAAAAAAGTAAGCTCCACACACAAAAGATAAGCTTAGAATTTCACGAACACGAAGTTTATTAATTGCTTTAGTTTCTCTCTTTTGCACCACATACTTTCCTCCTTGCACCAAACGCGAAAATTATGTTTGAAAGTCCACGCTCGCTCTGGCAGCACTTCGCCGTAGCCATTGTTGCTGTTTTGGTCATCATGTCGCTGAGCTTGGTCAATGCGAACAACGAAAACGACCAATGCATGCTAAGTGGAAAAACAAGGACGGAAAAACCTCGTACTGGACGACTTTACCAGTTATAGTTAGTTAAGTTAGTTGAAGTAATTTTTTGTTGTGCTTAACACTAGAACTGGCTGCAAACCATTAAACATATCAAACATTCCTGAGTGTTTTTCAATTTAAATGAGGAAGATTTTGCAAATTTTAATTATTGAAAATAGAGACCTTGCGCATGCGCAGACGTTTTGCACGCGTGTCGGGCACATGTGCTTACAGAGCAGTGGCGGATTC